GCCCCCCCCCCCCCCCAGTCTCCATGGTTAATTTGGTAAGGGTCTCTTTTAGGGTTCTTTTCATTCTTTCTACCTGTCCTGAGCTCTGGGGCCTATAAGTAATTTCCAGTTTGCCCCCATAGCCTTGGCTACTGCCTGCGTTACCTGTGAGATAAAAGCTGGTCCATTGTCTGATCCTACCATGGCAGGAAAACCATACCTGGGTAAGATGTCTTCTAGTAGCTTCTTAGCCACTGTCTGAGCCGTCTCATGCTTGGTTGGGTATGCCTCCGCCCAGCCAGAGAAGGTGTCTGTAAACACTAAAAGATATTTATAACCATACTTTGCTGGTTTAACTTCAGTGAAGTCGACTTCCCATTGGGCTCCCGGTCTGGTGCCACTGAGCCTGGTTCCTTTTTTATTGGATGTGGCTCTCGCATTGGTGAGTTGGCAGGTCTTGTAGGCAGATACAACTTGCTCTATTTTGGTGTCCTGTTGGTGAATCTTGATTCCAGCATGTCATTTGGGCCCCCCATGTGAGTAGACCGATGCATGTGTTCTAATACTGAGACTCCGAGCCCGTCTGGCAGCACGAGCTCCTTGTTAGGTGTATACCACCATCCCTTTATCTCTTGTGCCAAGGGGAGTTTCTTGATGAGCTTTAACTCCTCCTAGGAGTATTTGGGCTGGTCTGGTAAAACTGGGTCTCCTGGTTCTGGTGATTGTATGGTCATGGTGGTGGGGACTGAAGTAAGGGTTACTGCCTTGGCTGCCTGGTCAGCTTTTCGATTACCTCTAGCTACTGGGTTGTCAGTTTTCTGGGGCCCTTGGCAGTGGATAATGGCCAGCTTGGTAGGAAGCCATAAGGCTGTAAGCAGGTCAAGTATCTCCTTATTTTTTATAGTCCGTCCTTCTGCTGTCAGTAACCCCCTCTCCTGATAAATTGCCCCATGAATATGAGCTGTGGCAAATGCATAATGGCTGTCTGTGTAGACGTTAAGCCGTTTTCCAGCTCCCAGTGTTAGTGCGTTGGTAAGGGCGATGAGCTCTGCTCGCTGGGCTGACATTCCGGAGGATAGAGCCTCTGCTCATACGGTGTCTGTTTCGGTGACTACCGCTGCACCTGCATACCTGTGTCCATCCCGCACAAAGCTGCTGCCATCAGTGAACCAAGTAGCCTCGGCATTGGGGAGGGGCCGGTCGGTCAGATCCGTCTGGAATCCGTGTACTTGGTCCAGGATCCCCGCACAGTCATGTAGTGGAGCATCTAGGTCAGGGTCGGGCAGCAGGGTTGCAGGATTGAGGGCCACACTGGGGTGGAACCGCACCCATGGAGGGTTGAGTAGGAGGCTCTGGTAATGAGTCGTATGTGTGTTGCTCATCCATCTATCAGGAGGCTGTTTCAGAACCCCTTCAATGGTGTGTGGGGTCGTGATCCAGATCTCCTGTCCTAGGCTCAGTTTGTCTGCATCCTTGACTAGGAGTGCTGTCGCCACAATAATTCTTAGCCATGGCGGCCAGCTGGCAGCCACTGGGTCTAGCTTCTTGGACAGGTAAGCCACCGGGCGGTTCCAGGGGCCTAAGTCTTGAGTTAGAACTCCTTTTGCTATTCTATTGTGTTCATCTACAAAGAGGTAGAAGGGCCTCGTGATATCTGGTAGGCCCAGGGCTGGGGCACTTAGAAGGGCCTTTTTTAACTGATGAAAGGCAGTTTCTTTTTTCAGTCCATTCAAATGTTTTCCCCTCTTTGGTAGCTTCATATAGGGGCCTGGCGATCTCAGCAAAACCCGGAACGCAGAGGTGGCAGTAGCCGGCCAATCCTGGGAATTCCCTTACTTCCCTTCGGGAGGTGGGAGTAGGGATCTTTGGGATAGTTTCTTTTCTGGCATCTGATAAGCGCTGCTGTCCACCCTCCAGGATATATCCCAGGTAACTTACCCTCTCCTTGCATATCTGAGCCTTCTTCGCAGATGCCCGGTACCCCAAGGCCCCCAGGGTAGCCAGCGGGTCCTGGGTCCCTCACTTGCAGTCCTTGGCCATGTTGGCAGCAATCAGGATGTCATCTACATACTGTAGGAGGGTGAGGCCAGGGTGCTCCTTTCTGTACTCACCCAGGTCGTCATGTAGTGACTCGTCGAAGATGGTGGGCAAATTTTTGAATCCCTGAGGCAGCCGTGTCCAGGTGAGTTGTCCGCTGTAGCCCTCCTCTGGATCATGCCACTCGAAGGCAAACAAGGGTTGGCTTTGGGGTGCCAGTGGCAGACTGAAGAAGGCATCCTTTAAATATAGTATGGTATACCAGACCCTGGAGGGTGCCAAGGAGCTCAAGAGAGTATATGGGTTGGGAAGAGTTGGTTGTATGTCCGTGACCCTCTTATTTACTTGCCGGAGGTCTTGTACCAGTCGATACTCATTTGAGGCTTTTTGACCCACAGAAGGGGGGGTGTTCCAGGCAGACTGGCAAGGAACTAGTACCCCTAGGCTTTGTAGTCTCCGGATGTGTGGCTGGATCCCCTTCCGGGCCTCCTGAGACATGGGGTGTTGTTTGATGCTTACCGGACCTTCTCCTGGCTTGAGTTCTACCAGGACCGGGGTCCTGTGAGTGGCTAGTCCTATCCCCCCATCTCTGCCCAAACCGAGGGGAATTCTTGTAGCCATCTGTCTATATTATCCTCTCTCGGGAGTGCCTCCTCGTGGAGGCGATATTCATCCTCTAGTTTACTGGTCAGGACCTGGATGGGGTGGCCCTTGCCATCGGTGACCTGAGGCCCCCCCCTTGCCTGAAAGTTATCTGAGCTCCAATCTTGGTCAGTAAGCCCCATCCTAACAGTGGGTAGGGGCATTCTGGTATTACCATAAAGGAGTGGGATACCCGGCCCATCCCCAAATTTACTGTTCTTCGGCTAGTCCATGAATACTGGTTCATACCAGTTGCCCCTTATACCCAGGACTTCTTGCTGGCTAGTTTTCCTTGTGGGGTGTGGAGGACCGAATGTTGTGCTCCAGTGTCGACAAGGAAGTCACCAGGGGTCCCCTCCACTTTAAGAGTTACTCTGGGCTCGGGGAGAGGGTCTGAAGTCCGAAGCTCCTAATCACTCAGTTCATCTAGCTCTAAGACTTTTACTCGATCAGTCTTGCTTCCCTTCCCGCCGGCCTTTTTCAGACAATCTCAGGCCCCATTCCCTATCTCCTTGCAGTATAGGCACTGATTTCTCTGCAGCCTCTGCCTTTCCCCCTTGGTGGTTCCTTTATCTCCTCTTGAGTCATCCGCCAGCTGCCGGAGACGGCAGTCTCGTTCCTTGGGGGAGTCCGCAGTGGTAGCTAGTAGTATTCTGGCCAGGTCTTGAGTCTGCTTACTGCTGGCCGCTGCCATGGCGCGAGCCTGCTTGTCCTCAGGAGGCTCCCAGTTATTGTATACCTTTTCGGCTACCACCAGTAAGTCCTGCAGACTTTTTTCTCCTAGCCTATTTTCTGTAATTTTTTCCTAATGTCTATGGCCAATTGGTTTACAAAGGCCATGACAACAGCTGCTTTGCTTTCCAGAGCCTCTGGATCCATGGGGGTATAGGTATGGAATGCCTCCATGATCCGTTCTAAAAAGGCAGCCAGAGATTCATCTTTTCCCTGTTGTACATTTCCTACCTTGGCCAAATTGGTTGGCTTTCTAGCAGCCATTTGGAGACCCCCCCCCACCCCCCCACCCCCCCACCCATTAGAGTCTGGTGGTAGACCCGGAGCCTCTCCTTACCTTCTGCCATGTTGAAATCCCACTTGGGCCAAGTTAAGGGGAAGGAGGCATCTATCTGAGCCTGGTTGGTGGTGGGATTCCCGTCTGTGCCTGGAACTAGTTTTTGGGCCTCATTGAGGATTCTCTTTCTTCAGTCGTGAAAAGGGCCTGCAAAAACTGCTGGCAATCGTCCCATGTGGGCTGATGGGTAAAAAGAAGAGAGTCTAATAAATCAATAAGCCCTGCCGGTTTCTCGGAAAACTTAGGCTTCTGAGCTTTCCAGCTGTAGAGGTCACTAGTGGCGAAAGACCAATAGTGATGGGGCTGATTCCCCTCCGTGTCTGGGGGTCCAGTGGCTCGCAGGGGCAGACTAGAGGAGTCGGAGGCGGATTGCTCCCTCTGAGCCCTTTGTCTGGTAAAGGGCGGGCTTCCCACTGGAGCGTTTCTGCCTCCCACTCTTGGAACAGCATCTGCCTCCCCTGGAGGGGAAGGATGGTGTTCTTCCGGCATCCTAGGGGCGTTATATGGGGGAGGAAAAATTATTTCTTCTTCAGTCCCCCCCCCCCCTTGTAGGACAGGGTAGAGGGTTGCTGAAGGCTGGGTAAGACTTTTCTTGTCTGTCTTCTCTGTCCCCTGCAAAGCAAGAATGGGTTTCGGCTCCAGAGGGCGTAGGGTAGGAAGGGCTTAAGCCAAGAGGGTGGGTCTTCTACAAGATCCTGCCAAGTGATAATGTAAGGGAGCTGATCAGGATGGCCTGTCTTAGGCCGAGAGATGATACCCCTGACTCAGTGGATGGTAGGGAGGTCGAAAGTTCCCTCTGGCGGCCATCCAACATTGAAAGCTGGCCACTTGCTAGAACAAAAAACCTGCCACCGACCCTTTCAGACTTCAACACTGAGGTTGTTAGCTCTTACCCTGACATCCTTAAAGTGATCAATCATAATACTTACAGGAGTAGTCTGAGTCTGTCCCATAACATCTGTCCAGTAAGTCCACAGAACAAAACAAACACAGAAACAAAGGGCCCCTAGAAACAGTCTTCCAACTCCATGGAAGCAAAACTGAAAGCTAGATGACGGCCTCATGCCGACCAGCGGGAGCAACCCACCTTGTCTCAGACCTTTGAGAGGATTCCACATCCCTCCAGAAGGGAGGATCGGAATGTCTTCTGAAACTCCTGGCCCATGGTCTTCCAGTGTGCCCACTTAGACCATGCCGGCACTACCAGAATTTCAGAAATGAGCTCACACAGAAGAGACAGGGAACAAACAGACACTAACGGTGGCCAGTCAGGCTCTCCGGGTCCGGGGGATCCCGGACAAGCCCCCAAATGTTATGCCCAGAATTCATGATCCCCAAAGACCACCAGGGAGCTGAGTCCAATGCAAGAGCAAAGAGCCTTTATTCAAGCTAGCTCGAGCTCAATCCCTACCTGTACCAAGCAGTGGTGAGATGCCAGAGAGAGAGAGTGGGTTTCAAAAGTACAAAGGTTTTATAGGGATCTAGGGGTGGTTGGTGAGGTAATGGTCACGGCCT